AATACAGTGTTATTCACTTCTATTGATTCCCAAACTTTGATTCGAGCCGTCGGTATTTCACACTCTATTCACCAATCATCACATTTTTATCAGTTTTTACTATTTCAATACTACATCTATTTTATTATTATGTATTTTATACTATTCTATTGCTGTTGGAAATTATAATCAAATACATTGTATACTACAGTATTACTTTAAGTTATTAGTAACTATATTATTTAATTAAATTTGAGTCAATTGAATACAAAAATAAATATTAAGCAGTATGCTTTGAACAAGATATACAAATACAGTATAATATACTGGACTTACTTGTCAATTGAGGTATTTGAACACAAAGACCATCACTGGCCCTAAAAGTCCATCCATGAAATGGACAGCGAATGCATTCTTCACCGCATTCTTCGACAACCTTTCCTCCGACACCGATATTTGCGCCCAAATGCGGACAAAAGGCATCTAAGATAGAGACGCGACCCGATTGGCCTCTAATGGCCACCAATTCATAGCCAAATGCATTGATGTTTAGAATCTGATTCAAGTGAATAAGTCTGGACTCAAGCACTGGAATCCAACCGTTTGGATAAGTCGGCGGCAAATCCTTATTAAGTTTCTCAGTTTGAGTCACTTTTGTTTCACTCATGTCCTCAAAATTATAAAACCATTTAAATTATTAATTCAAACAATTAAATTTATTCTTCAAGTCTTACCACAATTTTCTCATTAAAAGTCAATACATAATATAAACAATAAGTTAACAAAATGAGAAATAAAATAATTGCGAAAAACCATAAATTAATTGCATTTAGATTCAAATTTTTATAGAAATGATAATAATAACTGATTATATTATGAACATTCATCGTCAAATCAATGAAATTTAATTGAATTTAATAATTTTTTGAATTTTTTTGGACAAAAAGTGAGTGTAAAATATTTTGAGAAAATTGGTAAAAGAAAGTCTTAAACTGAACTTAACCTTCAGTTTCAAACTCAAGTCCAAACAGAAAATCACATTTATTTTCTGGGATTACTATTTTATTTATATTTCTTACCTGTTTTTACAAAAGTATATAAACTAGGTAATTTATATTATTTATTCATCAGATAATATTCATTTATTAATATATTATTAGAAATACTAACTCTTAACTTGTAACTTAATCTAAAATTACGTTTTAATTGTAAACTATAAATTGATTTATCAATCTGGTATTACTATTTGTTTGCTATCTATATGTTATTAAAATTATTTTTCAAATTTTACTTTAAATAAATAATAATGAAATTTAAAATTTGATTTATTATTGATGATTGTAGTTGTAGTCCATCAGAAAACAATTTGCATGATATGTAAGAACATGTAAAAGCCATTCATTCGACTGAAAAGTTTTCGACATTTTGTAGTGAAGAAAGAGCCTCTCCATGAGGGGTGGACTTAGCCCGGGGTTAGAAGTAGTCCGTGCTTTGGTTTTTCAAACTCTTTGAACTTAAAACATTTGATTTCGTTTAATTTATTGACATTAGAAAGTATAATCATTACATAACTCGCCATAAGTTAAAATGTTTGTCACAGAGTTTTCTGAGCTAAAAGTGATTGAATTTTAGAAAATTGAATAAATTCTTAAAATTTTTTAATAAATTAATTTTAAATAAGCTTGTTTTTTAAATATTAATCAAATGATGGTAAATGAAGTTACTCATTACTTATTTAGTAATTAATTGATAGATTTTTGATAGATTTATAAATATAAGTTATACAGTATAAACTTTATACTATAAAGTGTTTTTGAATATAGTAATACAGTATTACAATAGTGTATTCATTACAGTGTATTGAAAAGGTATAGTAAAGTATCGTAGAGTGGATACAAATGTATAGAATTGTGAGAAGAATGCAATGAATTGAATGAAGAGTTGAATGTTTGCAAAAACAGTGATTGAGAAGTGGTTGCGATGACTACAAATGTATTGATTTTTGCATAAAAACAATAGTTTTGTTAGCAATAAGTTAGGAATATTATGAATATGAATATAAGTTTCGTTTGCATTTGAATATTAAATATATAGTTTGCACAGAATTGAGAGAAATGCCTCTGTTTTCCAGTAAATTCAGTCATAAGAAGTCTCCGTCGCGTAAATCAAAACCATTGTCTTCACTGCATAGAGAATTGAGTCAATCATTTGATTACAACTCTAATAATGAAAACATAAAACTTGGTTTAAATGAACAATTATTTTCATTTGACACGAAAACTGGACAATGGATTCATACGAATGCATCGCAAGAGGATTTTAGCGACAAACATAAAGATTTGCAAACAATGAATGATCTCTTAGTTCAAGAAAATAGACTTTTAAAGCTGAAAGTGGAAATATTAATTCAAATGGTATGTGTAATCACTTAAAAGTTATGTGAGCTTTAAATTATGATTAATTCTTAGGTAACCGAAGCAACGGCTGAACTCCAACTTTCTTGTCGTAATAATTCAGAGATCTATTAATTAATACTAAAAATCTCAAGTTATGTATAACTTGTAGAAAACCTACAGTTAGAGTAGAATATTGTAGTTTGTTATTATGATATATCAAATAAATGCACGTTATATAGACCCTATGATTAGAATATGATTTCAATTATATTTTAGTATATGCTGTACTTTCTTATGACAATTCCAAATATTTGAAATTTATAATATATTTTTACTATCTTTTACCCGTAATAATAAATGACTATATTTAACTACATATTGTTTTGTCATACAAAATAGATTTATTCAATGTAATTAAATCTATTATTATCCTTTTATATAAAATATTTAATTCATTATTTATTAATATAAATAATTATCGTTAAACATATTATAATAATAAATAAAAATAAATAAAATTTAGTTTAATATACTTATTGCATTATTAAAGTAAACAATAATTAATTGTAAACAAAATGAAACAAGATGAAATAAAATCTTATTACTAAATCTGATAACAAACCAAAATAATAGAACAAATTATTTAGAAATTAGCTGTAAATTGAAATAATTGAATAAATAAATAGAAATAATGGTAGGAAATGGTGGTGTCATTCACAGGCGAGTTTGGAGTCGAAACTGCTGAGGGCTATAGCGAAGGCCTGGAGGAGAGACATAGGCCACGACACGTCACACGAGAACTGAGAGCCGGACACCCGTCCGAACTGCATGGACACCAGATCTGCACTCGCCGTCTCCCCCAACGGTTGAGTCGTTGGGATCGTCGGAGCGAATGAAGAGTTCGAGTCATTCGATATATTCGACTGATTTGTGGGCGAAGCCAGAAGAATATCTTCCCTTTCATGACACGTCACTAATTGGAAATTCTTGACACTCGCCTGAGTTACCCGTCCCCTGAAGTTGAGTACATAAGACTGTGTCTCTATTGGTATAAAATTTAAATCAAGTTGATAGCACTTCAAGAGTTATTTGTAAACGAGTTATCATTAAGAATATGATATTAAAAGTGATATTAAATATGGATGTAAGCAATGAAGTAATGATACCGTCGTTCCAAACGGGAGTTTTGTTCTTCAATTGCAGAATTGATTTATTATTTCGTTTCCATTCTTCAAAAATTGACGAATTCTTTAAAGCATTCATCTGTCAAATGATTTATACATTTATTCAAATGTTTTATATCAATATATAATCAATATTTCTTAATGTAATTCTCAATATTATAAATATAATTCTTATAGTATATACTGTTTCTAACAAGAATTTTAATTAAAGTAATATACTGTATGATAGATTCTACCAATATACCACTATACTGCATATACTTTCTCAAATTGAATTCTCAAAAAACAAATCAATTTTCTAATTGTCATATAATTGTCAAACAATAAAAGTTTGTAATGGCATTATGTTTTGAAAATGACATTCATAATTATATAGTAAATAAATTGAAGACCTGATCATATTTAGGGATGAGAGCAGTCATTCTTCGCGGGCCTTTGAATCCAAGAACATTTGTTTCCTGTATTTGATTTAATAATCAAAATTACAAACCAATTGAAAGTATTGATGAATGGAAATACATATATAATTGTAGCAATTTCCTGTCTCTGACCGCCTGAGTTGATTCTATTAACAAATATATTTAACTTTAGATACAAATAGATTCAAATAATGTAATTGCGATAAGGATTGGTAGACAAGAACCTGATAGCCGTGAACTGTGTGCCCA